AATAAATATATAAATAAATATATATAAATAAATATATACTTAATTAAATAAATAAATATATAAATATAAATAAATAAATATACAAATATATAAATAAGACAAGACAATATATATTTACTACCAAGGGGGGCCCCTGCCAGTACCCGGTCTAGGGTTTGGGGGCCCCACCCCGAAGAGTTCTGCTGCTGCTGCTGCTGCTGCAGTAGACGCAGCAGGAGATCTGTACCCTCCTGGGGGCCCCCCTAGGGGCCCCCCATATCTATCGAGGGGCCCCCAGCATCCGCAGCTAGCGAAGGAATCTTCTGCCCCCATATCTATATAAAAACTATCTTCCCCTCTCCTTCCTCCTTGCTGCTGCTGCTGCTGCTGCTGCTGCTGCTGCTGCTGCTGGTGCAGCACGAGCTGCTGCTGTTTCTGCCGGCACTCATGACACCTATCTCTTCCCTTACACCCTCCTCTGTTGCTGCACCCCCTATTACTACTACTACTACTACTACTACTACTATTGCTGCTGCTGCTGCTGCTGCTGCTGCTGCTGCTGCTGCTGCAGTGTGGTGCTGCTAGCTTCTGCAGGAATTGTTTTGCTGCTCTTGGTGTAAAAGGAAGATTCTCCGCTAAGGAAACAAAAGCAGCAAAACTTGATTGCTGCTGCACCTCCTTTGCCTGCATGCACACACACATACACATATACTGCTGCTGCTGCTGCTGCTGCTGCTGCTGCTGCTGCTGCTGCTGCATAATGTCTACTGATATGACGAATCATATCTTGCTCCCCCTAAGGTATAATTTATTGCAATTTTCTGCCCAATTAATCCCTTAAATAAATAAATAAATAAATAAATAAATATAATAAATAAATAAATAAATAAATAAATATATTTAATTAATTAATTAATGAATTAATTTACTCTTCTTGCTAGTAATGCTGTTGCTAATTGGAAAGTTTCTGCATTAATTCGATCAGTAAAACAAAATGCAAGTTTTATGTTTATAAATGTTAATACAACTATATAGTCCTTGCTGCTCCTGCTGCTGCTGCTGCTGCTGCTGCTGCTGGTGCTGGTGGTCCTTGCTGCTGCTGATGCTGATGCTGATGCTGCGGTGGAGCCAACGGTGGCCGCGGAGGCGGCGGCTGCTGCTGCTGCTGCTGCTGCAGCAGGATCCATGTCCTCGTCGTCTTCGTGCTGCTGCTCATGGGATAGGAGAGGGGATGCATGCACACGTCTTAGATCAAGACGAGGTAGCTGCTGCTGCTGCTCCTCCTGCTGCTCCTGCTGCTGCAGCAGATGCTGC